TCTGTTCTATATCTTGAGAGAGTGTACATCAGCTGTCTGTCCTATATCTTGAGAGATTGTACATCATCTGTCTGTTCTATATCTTGAGAGAGTGTACATCAGCTGTCTGTCCTCATCTTGAGAGAGTGTACATCAGCTGTCTGTCCTCATCTTGAGAGAGTGTACATCAGCTGACTGTCCTCATCTTGAGAGAGTTTACATCAGCTGTCTATTCTCATCTTGAGAGAGTGTACATCAGCTGTCTGTTCTCATCTTGAGAGAACGAACGAACAAACTTTATTTTTAAAGGGTTACAAATTGGGCACGCAGGCCCATCTGACATTCGGCCCTTCTAAGTACTCATTTTTTAGAGTACCAATACCTGTTATCAATAATGCATGTTATGGATATAATAAAGAAATATAAAATATAGAATAATGCATACACACATCATGTTTACACAATCGTACACACACACATATACATACTCCTACGTTATCACACATGTGAACTCATATACATACATACGTGATACATACACACATGCATCTACATACATATACAAACATAAAACACATACACATACATAGACATAATTGCACAAACAGAAAACACACATACATTTATGGATATGCATGCACACACACATTCCATACATACGCATTGATACATGCACCCATGCATACACACCTATACAATCACATGCACAGACACCAACATATGCCCACAACCACACATTTACACTTACATGAATACATACACCCACATACATGCATACATATATTCACACATACATGCATACATACTTATACATGCATACATACTCACATTTATACATACACTCACATCTTTACACACATATATACATACCTAAATACACACATATACATCCACATACTTACACAGCATACATACATCCCCCAACATGCATACATACACACATAGGTACATACAAACATGTATACATACAAGCCCACACACATTACATACATACACACATATATACAATCACCCATACAGAGAGATTGTACATCAGCTATCTGTTCTCATCTTGAGAGAGTGTACATCAGCTGTCTGTCTTCATCTTGAGAGAGTGTACATCAGCTGTCTGTTATATATCTTGAGAGAGTTTACATCAGCTGTCTGTTCTCATCTTGAGAGAGTGTACATCAGCTGTCTGTTCTCATCTTGAGAGAGTGTACATTAGCTGTCTGTTCTCATCTTGAGAGAGTTTACATCAGCTGTCTGTTCTCACCTTGAGAGAGTTTACATCAGCTGTCTGTTCTCACCTTGAGAGAGTGTACATCAGCTGTCTGTTCTCACCTTGAGAGAGTGTACATCAGCTGTCTGTTATATATCTTGAGAGAGTTTACATCAGCTGTCTGTTCTCACCTTGAGAGAGTGTACATCAGCTGTCTGTTATATATCTTGAGTTTACATCAGCTGTCTGTTCTCACCTTGAGAGAGTTTACATCAGCTGTCTGTTCTCATCTTGAGAGAGTGTACATCAGCTGTCTGTCTTCATCTTGAGAGAGTTTACATCAGCTGTCTGTCTTCATCTTGAGAGAGTTTACATCAGCTGTCTGACTTCATCTTGAGAGAGTGTACATTAGCTGTCTGTTCTCATCACGAGAGAGTGTACATCAGTTGTCTGTTCTCATCTGGAGAGAGTGTACATCAGCTGTCTGTTCTATATCTTGAGAGAGTGTACATCAGCTGTCTGTCCTATATCTTGAGAGAGTGTACATCAGCTGTCTGTCCTCATCTTGAGAGAGTGTACATCAGCTGTCTGTCTTCATCTTGAGAGAGTGTACATCAGCTGTCTGTTATATATCTCGAGAGAGTTTACATTAGCTGTCTGTTCCGATCTTGAGAGAGTGTACATCAGCTGTCTGTTCTCATCTTGAGAGAGTGTACATCAGCTGTCTGTTCTCATCTTGAGAGAGTGTACATCAGCTGTCTGTCTTCATCTTGAGAGAGTTTACATCAGCTGTCTGTTCTCATCTTGAGAGAGTTTACATCAGCTGTCTGTTCTCATCTTGAGTGAACGAACGAACTTTTTTTTCAAAGGGTTACAAATTAGGCACGCAGGCCTGTCTTACATTCGGCCCTTCCAAACTTCCATCTTTCACACAGCAGTTATATTCATGAAGCATGAGAGTGTACATCAGCTGTCTGTTCTCATCTTGAGAGAGTTTACATCAGCTGTCTGTTCTCATCTTGAGAGAGTTTACATCATCTGTCTGTTCTCATCTTGAGAGAATGTACATCAGCTGTCTGTCTTCATCTTGAGAGAGTTTACATCAGCTGTCTGTTCTCATCTTGAGAAAGTTTACATCAGCTGTCTGTTCTCATCTTGAGAGAGTTTACATCAGCTGTCTGTCTTCATCTTGAGAGAGTTTACATCAGCTGTCTGTCTTCATCTTGAGAGAGTTTACATCAGCTGTCTGTTCTCATCTTGAGAGAGTTTACATCAGCTGTCTGTTCTCATCTTGAGAGAGTTTACATTAGCTGTTTGTTCTCATCTTGAGAGAGTGTACATCAGCTGTCTGTTCTCATCTTGAGAGAGTGTACATCAGCTGTCTGTTCTATATCTTGAGAGAGTGTACATCAGCTGTCTGTTCTCATCTTGAGAGAGTGTACATCAGCTGTCTTTCCTGCGTCTTGAACTAGCATCCAGCTTAAGAATGGAGGTGGAATTGGTCACTGCAGCTGCAGAGAAAATGACACCCACACACATTGTGATTCTAACTGACTCGGAAAGCATGCTGGGGAAGGTCAGGACAGGCATGCTTTGTGCAGTGGCATGCTTTACTGCGGACATGGGTGAGGAGTATTGTCTGGTTTTTTCTCGGGGAGACGCTGGTGTGTTGGGAAATGAACAGGCAGACAGACTGGCAAGACAAGATTAATTCCAAACACAAGATTAATTCCAGATTTCCTTGATCTGATCCGAACAGACTTCAGTGCTTACATCTTCAGCTAACTGCTGCAACACCTGGTACTTATTAGAGACTGTTACAGAAAATTGTTCTTTAACTTCTTTATCCCTGAGATAACCTACATTATATTGGTTTCTATGATTATAAGATGTTATATATCTATTAAGGTTCAGCTTGATTTTACTTACCAACAGAAAATGATCAGTAAATATATCAGCACCTCTGAAAGCTCTAACATCATAAAGGGATGATCTAAACTTGTTGTTTATACATATGTGATGAATTTAATTGGTTGTCTTGTGGTCTGGTGATTCCTATGTTGCCTTATATATTCTTTTATGGGAGCAAATGCTTCCACCAATAACATACTGGTTTCCTACACAAAAATTGGTGAATAATTCTCAATTTTCATTCATCACTCCTAGACCATTTCCTCCTATAATCTCTTCATAACCTATGTTATTTGATCCTATCTTAGCATTCAGGTCACCCATCAAAATATTTATATTTCTCTTTCTTTCATTATTTATAAATATTTTGAAGCTGCATGTAGAATTCATCCTTAACTAATGCATCTTAATAATTTGTTTGTGCATAACACTGTATTACCGACATGTTCAACCTTTGTTTCACTGTTCTATTATGATTCTGGAACTCACAGCTTCCCATTCTAGTTGTGCCCTCTGCTTCTTTCCTTAGCATCACGGCCACTGCTTCACTATGGGGAGAATTTACCTCTGTGTGTCCTGAGAACAAAATAGTTTCCCCTGAATTTATAATACTTTTGCCCGCGCTGGTCCATCTAGTTTCACATAACCCTAAAATAGGAATCCTACAATGTTTCATTTCCCTTACTACTTCCATTGTTCTTCCTATATCATACATAGTTCTAACATTCCAGGTGCGGATTCTTGAGGTTTTCCTATGTGACAGGAGATACGTCGACGATCTGGACACTTTTAGGCTTTCTCCACATTATGTCATACTCTTTCTACTTGAATAGTCTCCCCCCATCTTGGGTGGCTGGGTTTTACTTGTTTGGACTTGCCAGGTAGGGTGCAGTGTCACTATTTTTTCTTTCAGTGAGGGCCCCGGTGACAACCTGTGCGAAAACTGCCAATTACTGCTTTTATTTTACCATTTTTGTGGTGAAGCGGGAGGGGGTGGGGGGTCTTTGAACCTAAAGATTTATGGCCGCATAGGTAGGGCTGTTCCCAGGACTATACAGGTGAGAATTTTATTGTGCCCCTGACAGATAAATCCCCAGTCTTACTGAGGATTCGAACCTGGGTCTCTCCCATGACAGCCCAGCATTCTAACTGTTCGGGCAGCCACTCCTTGGTGGTTAGGAGCACCTTAGTAAAATGGGGAAAACAAAATTCCTGCCACTTTGAAATCCACAATGTGGCATGAATAAATTTAGCTACAGTGACACAACCACACACAGGAGCAGTTATAAACATATTTGCTTGTTTTCTGTGTATAGTTAGTCACACTGTTTATGGTTGACCCACACAACCACACACAGGAACAGTTATAAACATATCTGCTTGTTCTCTGTGTATAGTTAGTCACACTGTTTATGGATGACCCACACAACCACACACAGGAACAGTTATAAACATATCTGCTTGTTCTCTGTGTATAGTTAGTCACACTGTTTATGGATGACCCACAGATGAAATTGTGAAGTGCCTGGGCATTGCTAGGTTCATTTAGTATTGTATAACTACTGATTCCAAGCAAATTTGCAGGCTATAACTGTTTAAAATAATGACTGGCACTTGGTAGTAAGACAGTTATTCAAAATATAAATAACGCTGTTCTGCCTTTGTCCAGAAGATTGGAGAGGCACTAGATTTAGCTAAAGAAATTCTATTTTGCCTATTCTGTTTGTGGAGGTCTGAACATCTGGGTTCAGCTAATGAAAGTAACATGGTTGAGTGTCTACAGTTTGGAAAATCACTAGGTTCAGCTAGGGAAAGTAACATTTTTCTGTCTGTTGTGTGTCTACAGGTTTTAGAACCACTAGGTTCAGCTAATGAAAGTAACACTGCTGTATTTGTTGTGTATCTGCAGCTATCTTGTTGTGGTACTAGTAATGACAATGATGGCTACTTAGACTGGAACAGAAACCCATACTTTAACTGTTCAGATGGCAATGAAAGCCCAGAGGCCTGTAGTGTCCCATTTTCATGCTGTAAAATATCAAAGGTTTGTATGATTGTTTTGTTTTAATGTGCCTACATATTAGCATGGAAATTGTTGTTAGATCACTTACCAAAATCATTTAGCAGATCATTAGAAATGGAATGAAGAAACAAGACAAACTGTTAAAACCTCTGGACCAAAAAAAAAAAATACTTAACATAAAATTGCTTCTTGTTGTTGTGTTCAACCTGAAAACCCACTTAGGGTCATTGGTCTTAAAATATACCTCTAGCTCCATCTGTGCAACACACCTCCAGGTGTGGGAAAAGGTTCTTTACTTTTGACTTTGTAAACCTGTTTTACACTTAATCCACATCTGTGCCGGCCCTGACAATGACCTCAGTTTGCCCCATCCTCAGGTTCAATGTCACTTGTTTAATTTCATGTTTTTGACCTCACTTAGGTGTTGTGACTGCTGCAGTACATACATAACCTGAATGTTGAATGTTCAATTAAGAATTGACATCACAGCATTCGGGACACCCCCATAAGCACTCCGTCCCCATCTACAGCAGCAAGCAAAGATTCAAAATTCTGATGGTACCAGTAACTGTCTGACTCTGTATCTGTCTCGCCTTTACCCTGCGTGTCGAGCCAGATACCCTTGTAACTCCTTGCAGTGCCATTCTCCTCAGACCGAAAGGATCTGTCTGTTCCCTGGCAGAGTTCACTCGCTCCCAAAAGGCCCTCACAACATCCAGCTTGTCATGCAGAAGTGGCCAGTCTATCTGCCTGCTCATTTCCCAACACACCGGCATAACCTGGAAAAAATATACAAAGGATGCTAACTACCTGGGACCTCTAAAGTAATGCTTGCCACTCTGCATGGAGCATGCTTGTCTCCACCTTTCTCAACATGCTCTGTGAGTCAGTTACAATGACGACATGTGTGTACAGCTGATTCTCAAGCTCCATCTCCATTCTCAAACTAGACATTGTGATATCATACGCAAGGCTTTTGCTGCACTAGGCAACATCCATTTGCCCTTGCTATGAACACCCGGGCACTTTGTCTGACCCTCAACACAGCCATCTGTATATACAATCACATCACTTGGCAGACATAACCTAAACAGACAGAACAGTGTTACTTTCCTTAGCTGAACCTAGTGGTTCTCCAACCTGTAGACAAAGTAAATTAGGTGTTCTCTCATGCATCAATCAAACATGCACCAGTCAAATATACTATTGCAGCAGTCAGTTAGGTCTTCTCTCCTCCATCAGTCAAATAATACTATTGCAGTCGTCAGTTTGGCGTTCTCTCCTGCGTTAGTCAGCTGATACTACTGTAGCAATCAGTCAGGTGTTCTCTCCTGCGTTAGTCAGCTGATACTACTATAGCAGTCAGTCAGGTGTTCTCTCCTGCGTTAGTCAGCTGATACTACTATAGCAGTCAGTCAGGTGTTCTCTCCTGCGTTAGTCAGCTGATACTACTATAGCAGTCAGTCAGGTGTTCTCTCCTGCGTTAGTCAGCTGATACTACTATAGCAGTCAGTCAGGTGTTCTCTCCTGCGTTAGTCAGCTGATACTACTATAGCAGTCAGTCAGGTGTTCTCTCCTGCGTTAGTCAGCTGATACTACTATAGCAGTCAGTCAGGTGTTCTCTCCTGCGTTAGTCAGCTGATACTACTATAGCAGTCAGTCAGGTGTTCTCTCCTGTGTTAGTCAGCTGATACTACTATAGCAGTCAGTCAGGTGTTCTCTCCTGCGTTAGTCAGCTGATACTACTATAGCAGTCAGTCAGGTGTTCTCTCCTGCGTTAGTCAGCTGATACTACTATAGCAGTCAGTCAGGTGTTCTCTCCTGCGTTAGTCAGCTGATACTACTATAGCAGTCAGTCAGGTGTTCTCTCCTGCGTTAGTCAGCTGATACTACTATAGCAGTCAGTCAGGTGTTCTCTCCTGCGTTAGTCAACTGATACTACTATAGCAGTCAGTCAGGTGTTCTCTAATGCTTTAGTCAGCTGATACTACTATAGCAGTCAGTCAGGCGTTCTCTCATGCTTTAGTCAACTGATACTGCTATAGCAGTCAGTCAGGTGTTCTCTCTTGCTTTAGTCAACTGATACTACTATAGCAGTCAGTCAGGTGTTCTCTAATGCTTTAGTCAACTGATACTACTATAGCAGTCAGTCAGGCGTTCTCTAATGCTTTAGTCAGCTGATACTACTATAGCAGTCAGTCAGGTGTTCTCTCCTGTGTTAGTCAGCTGATACTACTATAGCAGTCAGTCAGGTGTTCTCTCCTGCGTTAGTCAACTGATACTACTATAGCAGTCAGTCAGGTGTTCTCTCCTGCGTTAGTCAGCTGATACTACTATAGCAGTCAGTCAGGTGTTCTCTCCTGCGTTAGTCAGCTGATACTACTATAGCAGTCAGTCAGGTGTTCTCTCATGCTTTAGTCAACTGATACTACTATAGCAGTCAGTCAGGTGTTCTCTCTTGCTTTAGTCAACTGATACTACTATAGCAGTCAGTCAGGTGTTCTCTAATGCTTTAGTCAACTGATACTACTATAGCAGTCAGTCAGGTGTTCTCTCATGCTTTAGTCAGCTGATACTACTATAGCAGTCAGTCAGGTGTTCTCTCATGCTTTAGTCAACTGATACTACTATAGCAGTCAGTCAGGTGTTCTCTCCTGCGTTAGTCAGCTGATACTACTATAGCAGTCAGTCAGGTGTTCTCTCATGCTTTAGTCAACTGATACTACTATAGCAGTCAGTCAGGTGTTCTCTCCTGTGTTAGTCAGCTGATACTACTATAGCAGTCAGTCAGGTGTTCTCTCATGCTTTAGTCAGCTGATACTACTATAGCAGTCAGTCAGGTGTTCTCTCCTGTGTTAGTCAGCTGATACTACTATAGCAGTCAGTCAGGTGTTCTCTCCTGCGTTAGTCAGCTGATACTACTATAGCAGTCAGTCAGGTGTTCTCTAATGCTTTAGTCAGCTGATACTACTATAGCAGTCAGTCAGGCGTTCTCTCATGCTTTAGTCAACTGATACTGCTATAGCAGTCAGTCAGGTGTTCTCTCCTGCGTTAGTCAGCTGATACTACTATAGCAGTCAGTCAGGTGTTCTCTCCTGCGTTAGTCAGCTGATACTACTATAGCAGTCAGTCAGGTGTTCTCTCCTGCGTTAGTCAGCTGATACTACTATAGCAGTCAGTCAGGTGTTCTCTCCTGCGTTAGTCAGCTGATACTACTATAGCAGTCAGTCAGGTGTTCTCTCATGCTTTAGTCAACTGATACTACTATAGCAGTCAGTCAGGTGTTCTCTCTTGCTTTAGTCAACTGATACTACTATAGCAGTCAGTCAGGTGTTCTCTCTTGCTTTAGTCAACTGATACTACTATAGCAGTCAGTCAGGCGTTCTCTCATGCTTTAGTCAACTGATACTACTATAGCAGTCAGTCAGGTGTTCTCTCATGCTTTAGTAAACTGATACTACTATAGCAGTCAGTCAGGTGTTCTCTCCTGCGTTAGTCAGCTGATACTACTATAGCAGTCAGTCAGGTGTTCTCTCATGCTTTAGTCAACTGATACTACTATAGCAGTCAGTCAGGCGTTCTCTCCTGCGTTAGTCAGCTGATACTACTATAGCAGTCAGTCAGGTGTTCTCTCCTGCGTTAGTCAACTGATACTACTATAGCAGTCAGTCAGGTGTTCTCTCCTGCGTTAGTCAGCTGATACTACTATAGCAGTCAGTCAGGTGTTCTCTCATGCTTTAGTCAACTGATACTACTATAGCAGTCAGTCAGGCGTTCTCTCCTGCGTTAGTCAGCTGATACTACTATAGCAGTCAGTCAGGTGTTCTCTCCTGCGTTAGTCAACTGATACTACTATAGCAGTCAGTCAGGTGTTCTCTCATGCTTTAGTCAACTGATACTACTATAGCAGTCAGTCAGGTGTTCTCTCATGCTTTAGTCAACTGATACTACTATAGCAGTCAGTCAGGTGTTCTCTCATGCTTTAGTCAACTGATACTACTATAGCAGTCAGTCAGGTGTTCTCTCATGCTTTAGTCAACTGATACTACTATAGCAGTCAGTCAGGTGTTCTCTCCTGCGTTAGTCAGCTGATACTACTATAGCAGTCAGTCAGGTGTTCTCTCCTGCGTTAGTCAGCTGATACTACTATAGCAGTCAGTCAGGTGTTCTCTCCTGCGTTAGTCAGCTGATACTACTATAGCAGTCAGTCAGGTGTTCTCTCCTGCGTTAGTCAGCTGATACTACTATAGCAGTCAGTCAGGTGTTCTCTCCTGCGTTAGTCAGCTGATACTACTATAGCAGTCAGTCAGGTGTTCTCTCCTGCGTTAGTCAGCTGATACTACTATAGCAGTCAGTCAGGTGTTCTCTCCTGCGTTAGTCAGCTGATACTACTATAGCAGTCAGTCAGGTGTTCTCTCTTGCTTTAGTCAACTGATACTACTATAGCAGTCAGTCAGGTGTTCTCTCTTGCTTTAGTCAACTGATACTACTATAGCAGTCAGTCAGGTGTTCTCTCCTGTGTTAGTCAGCTGATACTACTATAGCAGTCAGTCAGGTGTTCTCTCCTGTGTTAGTCAGCTGATACTACTATAGCAGTCAGTCAGGTGTTCTCTAATGCTTTAGTCAACTGATACTACTATAGCAGTCAGTCAGGTGTTCTCTCCTGCGTTAGTCAGCTGATACTACTATAGCAGTCAGTCAGGTGTTCTCTAATGCTTTAGTCAACTGATACTACTATAGCAGTCAGTCAGGTGTTCTCTCATGCTTTAGTCAACTGATACTACTATAGCAGTCAGTCAGGTGTTCTCTTATGCTTTAGTCAACTGATACTACTATAGCAGTCAGTCAGGTGTTCTCTCTTGTGTTAGTCAACTGATACTACTTTAGCAGTCAGTCAGGTGTTCTCTAATGCTTTAGTCAACTGATACTACTATAGCAGTCAGTCAGGTGTTCTCTCCTGCGTTAGTCAGCTGATACTACTATAGCAGTCAGTCAGGTGTTCTCTAATGCTTTAGTCAACTGATACTACTATAGCAGTCAGTCAGGTGTTCTCTCTTGTGTTAGTCAACTGATACTACTATAGCAGTCAGTCAGGTGTTCTCTAATGCTTTAGTCAACTGATACTACTATAGCAGTCAGTCAGGTGTTCTCTCCTGCGTTAGTCAGCTGATACTACTATAGCAGTCAGTCAGGTGTTCTCTAATGCTTTAGTCAACTGATACTACTATAGCAGTCAGTCAGGTGTTCTCTCATGCTTTAGTCAACTGATACTACTATAGCAGTCAGTCAGGTGTTCTCTTATGCTTTAGTCAACTGATACTACTATAGCAGTCAGTCAGGTGTTCTCTCATGCTTTAGTCAACTGATACTACTATAGCAGTCAGTCAGGTGTTCTCTCATGCTTTAGTCAACTGATACTACTATAGCAGTCAGTCAGGTGTTCTCTCATGCTTTAGTCAACTGATACTACTATAGCAGTCAGTCAGGTGTTCTCTTATGCTTTAGTCAACTGATACTACTATAGCAGTCAGTCAGGTGTTCTCTTATGCTTTAGTCAACTGATACTACTATAGCAGTCAGTCAGGTGTTCTCTTATGCTTTAGTCAACTGATACTACTATAGCAGTCAGTCAGGTGTTCTCTCTTGCTTTAGTCAACTGATACTGCTATAGCAGTCAGTCAGGTGTTCTCTTATGCTTTAGTCAACTGATACTACTATAGCAGTCAGTCAGGTGTTCTCTTATGCTTTAGTCAACTGATACTACTATAGCAGTCAGTCAGGTGTTCTCTTATGCTTTAGTCAACTGATACTACTATAGCAGTCAGTCAGGTGTTCTCTTATGCTTTAGTCAACTGATACTACTATAGCAGTCAGTCAGGTGTTCTCTTATGCTTTAGTCAACTGATACTACTATAGCAGTCAGTCAGGTGTTCTCTCATGCTTTAGTCAGCTGATACTACTATAGCAGTCAGTCAGGTGTTCTCTTATGCTTTAGTCAACTGATACTGCTATAGCAGTCAGTCAGGTGTTCTCTCTTGCTTTAGTCAACTGATACTGCAATAGCATCAATCAGAAGATAATGCCACAAATATTTTCTTATAAATTAAATGTTTTTGCTGTTGGGATGAGCCCAGTAACTTTTTAAATCATTTGATTGTATCACAGGGAAGCCCAAAAAACTACCGATGTGGAACCGGGGTTCTTAGGAAATCAGAATCTGCTAATCTGGTATGACTCTATACATTATGTAGAACTTTAATTTTGTTATGCCATTACATCAGCTGGTTGCCACCTTCACAGTGAAGATTGGCTACAGGGAGTGCCCCAACATTATCCATCTCTTGCCATGATAATGCAGTCTGTATTTGTCTCTATGTATTATTCTTCATGCTGTGATATGTGTGTTGTATTGACATCATTGTGGATCTGTTTCGCTCTGCAGCTGATCATATTGTTGTCATACTCTAGAGCAGGGTTGTTCAGCTTGTGGCCCATGAGCCGAATCTGGCACTCAGAGGCTTAGCAAGTGGCTGGTGGATCATTGCCAGTTGTATTGTATTAATAATCTTTCGACGCTAGGGCTGAGACCTCTGGCCAGTAATAATCCCCCTTTTCAGTGTTCTGGCCCCTGAGTACAAATTGTTGAATATCCCTGCTCTAGAGTGTTTCCTATGCAACTGTCTGTATTGTTGTCATTCTCTGTTTGCTGTGTAGCTGTCCATCTCCAGTGTACAAACTAGGGCTGTACCGAATAGTGATTTTCACTATTAGTACCGAATAGTGATTTTCACTATTCGGCCAAATACGAATAGCAGGACCAACTATTCGGCCGAATATGAATACGAATAGTATATAGTGTATAAAATATATTAAAAAAAAAAAAAACCACACTGACACACACATTCATAATGTCAAGTGTACGCTGAACTTTTACTTCACATAAAGTAGCACAGAATAGTCATCTTCTTCTTTAGCATTCTGAACTCTTGAGGTTTACTGCTACAGATATCACTCGTCTCCATTCATATCTCTGGCTGGCCTTCTGTGCACAATTTGTGACACCATTTGTTAGCAGGTCTGGCTGGACATATCTCTCGAACTTCTTTTTTGTCTGCCTCGTGGTCTACGCCCATTCCTCTCTCAGGTGTATACAGTTTTTACTTCTCGGTCATCTGACATCCTTTTAATATGCCCCAACCATTTAAGTCTGTTAACTCTCATGATGCCAGTGATCAATGGTGATTTAAACAGATTATGTGTTACATTGTTGCTTTTCACTCTCCATTCCCCGCAGTTAGCATCTTTATCTGGTCCAAAGATTTGTCGTAAGACTGTTTTCGAAAACCTGTAATAAGGCCTCATCTCTTTTATTTCTGCTCCAAGTTTTAGAGCCATGTTAAACTACTGGTCTTATCAACGTTTTATATATTTTGATCTTGGTGTTGCGAGACAGACACTTTGACTTTAGCAGATGTTGAAGGGCCATAGTATACTTTATTTCTAGATTGTAATCTAGATTGTATTTCTTCTCTCAGCATGTTGGAGCAGTTGAAGTTTGCACCAAAATACTTATATGTTTCTGTTCGTTTGATTTTCATATTATCGACTTGGATGTGGCCGGAGTTTATATTCTTTCTATGTCTAGTTATTATTCGTACAGAATAGTAAACATTTAAAAACATTTTATGTTTTGCATCTTTCAGTCAGTCTGTTGTAACTAATAACTAGGAATGAAAGAATCCTAAGTATTATAACAAGTAACTAAACTTGGAAATTGTCCCTGACAGCTTAGTTACTGCAGGAAAGCTTTATTAGCTTTCAACAAAACTAATCTTTCCATGTTGTCAGCATTTAGGCGTGTTTGCAGAAGCGGGTGTTAGGTAACTACTATTCGTATTCGGCCCGACCGCAACTATTCGGCCGAATACCGAATAGTCAGTAGGCCCACTATTCGGCCCCGAAGTGAATACAAAGCGAATATTCGGTACAGCCCTAGTACAAACATCTGTATCTCAAGTGTACACATGTCTGGATCACCAGTGTACACATGTCTGGGTCACAAGTGTGTAAACATCTTTATCACCAGTGTACACATATCTGGGTCTCTAGGGTACACACATCAGTATCTCCAGTGTGCACACATCTGTATCTCCAGTGTACACATATCTAGATTTCCAGTGTACACACATCTATCTCCAGTGTACACACATCAGTATCTCCAGTGTACATACATCAGTATCTCCAGTGTACACACATCAGTATCTCCAGTGTACATACATCAGTATCTCCAGTGTACACACATCAGTATCTCCAGTGTACACACATCAGTATCTCCAGTGTACATACATCTGTATCTCCATTATACCCATGTCTGGGTCTCCATAGTTCATGTGTCTAGATCTTCAGTGTACACATTTATCTGTGTACACATTTATCTATCTCCAGTGTACAAACATGTCTGTATTTCCAGTGAACACATGTATCTCCAGTGTAAACACATCTGGATCTCCAGTGTACACACATCTGGATCTCCTATGTACACATGTCTGTATCTCCAGTGTAAACTTGTCTGAATCTCCAGTGTACACAATGTCTGCATCTCCAGTGTACACACATCTGTATCTCCAGCATACACAGGTCTAGATCTCTTGTGTACACCTGTCTGTAACTCCAGTGTAAATATATGTGTATCTTCAGAGTTCACACGTCTTGGTCTCCAGTGTACACATATGTCTGTATCTCTAGTGTACACTCATATCTGGATCTCCAGTGTACACCCATGTCTGGATTTCTAATTTACACACATCTGGATCTCATGTGTACACACATGTTTGCATCTTCAGTGTACATATTGTTCTGCATCTCCAGTGTACACACACATGTATCTCCAGTGGACACATGTCTGTATCTCCAGTGTACACACATCTGTTTCTCCTGTGTACACACATCTTCATCTATAATGTACACATTATGATATCTCCAGTATACACACATCTTTATCTCAAATGTACACATCTGTATCTCAGTTGTACATTTGTCTGGATCTCTTTGTATACATGTATGTATCTCTAATGTCTGTATCTCCAGTGTACTCATATCTATATCTGCAGTTTACACACACATATGTATGACTAGTTTAAACATATATGTATCTTTAGTGTACACTTGTCTGGAACTCCAGTGTACACACATGTCATATCTCTGGTGTATACACATGTCTGTATTTCCAGTGTACACATATGTGTATCTCCAGTGTACACACATGTGTGTCTGTTGTACACATATGTGTATCTCCTATGTACACACATCTGTATTTTAAATGTACTGATGTATGTATCTTCCTTGTACACAAATATGGTTCTCCAGTGTATACGCATGTCTGTATCTCTAGTGTACACACTTGTCTGGATATCCAGTGTGCACAAATGTGTATCTCCAGTGTACACACATCTGTATCTTCAGTGTACACACATGACTAGATTCCCAGTGTACACACATTTTTGCATCACCAGTGTACACACATATTTGTATCTCTAGTTGACACATATATGTATCTCCAGTATACACACATGTCTGTAACTCCAGTGTACATATATATGTTTCTGTAGTGTACAAACATGTCTGTGTCTCTATTGTACACTCATGTCTGGATTTCTAGTTTACGCACATCTGAATCTCACGTGTACACACATGTTTGCATCTCCAGTGTACACATTGTTCAGCATCTCCAGTGTACACACATCTGTATTATCAGATGTATACATCTGTATCTTAATTGTACACTTGTCTGGATCTCTAGTGTATACATGTATTTATCTCTAGTGTACACATGTCTGTGTCTTTAGTTACACATGTCTGTGTCTTTAGTTACACATATCTATGTCTTTAGTTACACATGTCTGTGTCTTTAGTTACACATGTCTGTGTCTTTAGTTACACATGTCTGTGTCTTTAGTTACACATGTCTGTGTCTTTAGTTATACATGTCTGTGTCTTTAGTTATACATGTCTGTGTCTTTAGTTACACATGTCTGTGTCTTTAGTTACACATGTCTGTGTCTTTAGTTACACATGTCTGTGTCTTTAGTTACACATGTCTGTTTCTTTAGTTATACATGTCTGTGTCTTTAGTTATACATGTCTGTGTCTTTAGTTACACATGTCTGTGTCTTTAGTTACACATGTCTGTGTCTTTAGTTATACATGTCTGTGTCTTTAGTTATACATGTCTGTGTCTTTAGTTACACATGTCTGTGTCTTTAGTTACACATGTCTGTGTCTTTAGTTATACATGTCTGTGTCTTTAGTTACACATGTCTGTGTCTTTAGTTACACATGTCTGTGTCTTTAGTTACACATGTCTGTGTCTTTAGTTATACATGTCTGTGTCTTTAGTTATACATGTCTGTGTCTTTAGTTATACATGTCTGTGTCTTTAGTTACACATGTCTGTGTCTTTAGTTATACATGTCTGTGTCTTTAGTTATACATGTCTGTGTCTTTAGTTACACATGTCTGTGTCTTTAGTTATACATGTCTGTGTCTTTAGTTATACATGTCTGTGTCTTTAGTTATACATGTCTGTGTCTTTAGTTACACATGTCTGTGTCTTTAGTTATACATGTCTGTGTCTTTAGTTATACATGTCTGTGTCTTTAGTTATACATGTCTGTGTCTTTAGTTATACATGTCTGTGTCTTTAGTTACACATGTCTGTGTCTTTAGTTATACATGTCTGTGTCTTTAGTTATACATGTCTGTGTCTTTAGTTACACATGTCTGTGTCTTTAGTTATACATGTCTGTGTCTTTAGTTATACATGTCTGTGTCTTTAGTTATACATGTCTGTGTCTTTAGTTATACATGTCTGTGTCTTTAGTTATACATGTCTGTGTCTTTAGTTACACATGTCTGTGTCTTTAGTTATACATGTCTGTGTCTTTAGTTATACATGTCTGTGTCTTTAGTTATACATGTCTGTGTCTTTAGTTATACATGTCTGTGTCTTTAGTTATACATGTCTGTGTCTTTAGTTATACATGTCTGTGTCTTTAGTTATACATGTCTGTGTCTTTAGTTACACATGTCTGTGTCTTTAGTTATACATGTCTGTGTCTTTAGTTATACATGTCTGTGTCTTTAGTTATACATGTCTGTGTCTTTAGTTATACATGTCTGTGTCTTTAGTTACACATGTCTGTGTCTTTAGTTATACATGTCTGTGTCTT